CTATCAGTAGGCTCAAACACTGCAATTATTTGCATTCTGGCACCAATCAAAAGAATCCAAGGGCCATTTTCTTCTTTTTAAACCACTGTAATTTGTTCAGTGATGAACTGTTTTTGGAATACAGTGCAGCATTTGTTCTCTGTGAATGTATTTTTCAGTCTTTTTTGGCAAGGTGAGGAAGAGGTGGTGGCACACTTGGTCTTAAGTTTTGTTACTCTTATGCTACCAGCTTTCCTAAGTGTTAAAGCAATGCTGTAGTTAATATACAATTAGACTCTGATCCCACTAGCACTGGAACTGCATAAATTTATTCATGAAAATTGCATGTTGTGAACTTTTGGATTGTGAAGTGTGTCATAATTTTTCTCAGAAAAGCATAAAAGTCACTACAACAGAAGAATTGGTTTGGTAATGTTTTGAAGTGGTAGGCACTGATTTTGGTCTAATTCAGTGTCACACATTGGGGAATCCTGTTGGAAAAACACTTGGGGTTTAACATTAATTGTTATATTAAAATGGAAGAGTAATCAGAAATGCATTAATATTCTCTTCTGCTTGACACTTCTGCTCAGGAAAAGATTATATATGGAAGTATTTGAGTACACTCGTCCAATGATGCATCCTGAACCTGGTAAATTTTATCAGATTAATCCGGAAGAATATGAACATCCAAATCCCTGGAAAGAAAGCTTCCAGCAGCTGGTAACAGTAGTATTCACTTATATTCAAGTTTACAGATATTTATAAGAGTAAAAACCTCCTTTCAGGTAGTTGTAGAGGGCGATAAGGGGAGACCTGACAGGAGGTTGTAGTCAGGTGGGGGCTGGTCTCTTCTCCCAGGCAACCAGCAGCAGGACAAGAGGGCACAGACTCAAGCTCTGCCAGGGGAGGTTTAGGTTGGATATTAGGAAGAGATTTTTTACAGAGAGAGTGATCAGGCATTGGAATGTGCTGCCCAGGGAGGTGGTGGATTCACCATCCCTGGAGGTTTTGAAGCTGAGACTGGATGTGGCACTTAGTGCCATGGTCTAGTAACCACGGTAGGGTTGGACTCGATGATCCTTGCGGGCTTTTCCAACCAGGTTGATTCTATGTTTCTATAATTCTGAAATATGGCTGACAATAGTAATTAACTCTGGTTCAGACTTTAAATAAGATGATGTGACTGAAGAGGTGGGGAGAGATCCTTGTGGTGTTACGCAGTAGGGGGAAATGTGAAGTTGTTTCCTGTTTTGAGGGGCACTTTAGGGAGGCACAACATGGTTAAGTGGAGTGCTTGAGCATCCAGCTTGTGTGTCTTGGGTTTTCCTTGTGTTTTGCATCACTGAAATTCTGTGGAATAGATTATCATGGTCTGTGGCTCACAAACAAACTTCAAATACATGTTGTTCTGTGTTACTAACCCAGTGTGCGTGCTGGTTGTCAGATTTTTGTGCATCTTCCTCTACTTAATCACACAGCATATTGGTAATACCACTTAGGCTGCAGTAGTGATTTGCAGCTGATGAGACTGGAGCTAAAGGAGTTATTTTTAAGGCATGTGGTTGAACCTCTGATCCAAAGTTTTGGAGGTTGGGCATGATATTTGAAAAACAAGTAGGAGAAATTAATACCAAGGTGTGTGTATTATACACTGTGTGTGTAATTGGTTAATGCAATGCTGAAGCTTGACTTGTGACTGAATATTAAATGAAGAAGCCAAGTGAAGGTACAGGATTCTCTTCTCCTCACCATATAAATGCAGTTTGTTTTGTCACAAGCTGCTAGAAAACCTAGAGGTGGAAGTAGGAACAGCTGCTGTGGAGTGCATAAGGTGTGTGAAGCTTTTCAGCCAGTTTCAAGGCTCCTGGCTGTGTAAGTAGGTTAGGTTAACCTCTTGGTTTAGTTGATCACCCTCTGAGGCTCAGATGTTTTTTGGTGTTGCCATTTAGAACTGTGCCTAATGTGGGAGGTCAGTATATGATCCTTACTTTCTGGAACAAAACTGGTAATGGTAAATTGCTTGTTAATTAGGGGGCTAGGAGATCTCTTATCCCTGCATTCAGCCCCACAGAGCTGCAAGCTTATCACAAAGTATTTTTCTTGTTTCAGTACAAAGGAGCACATGTAAAGCCAGGTTTTGCTGAACACTTCTACAGTAATCCTGCAAGATACAAAGGGAGAGAAAACATGTTGGTATGTTTCTAAAGCTGTTCTTAAGAATATTTATGTATCTATATATATATGGAAATGGACATTTCTCTAAACTTGTCCCTTTTTTTCTAGTACTATGATACCATTGAGGATGCTCTTGGTGGAGTTCAAGAAGCTCATTTTGATGGACTTATCTTTGTTCACTCTGGTATATATACAGATGAATGGATATATATAGAATCTCCAATCACCATGATTGGTGCAGGTATGTAAACTGAGAGCTTCCTTGTCTCAAACTTGTGTTAATTTCTACCTTATTTACAAAGATACTCTGGTGTATTAAGTATTTAGTATAAATAAATGACCATCTTTCTTCATCAGCCTAGTAAATAAGTTTTGGGATTTTTTTGTAGAAGTGTCACTAACTAAAAAGTAGCTGATGGTTCAGGCTGAAGTACCGTTGTCTGCTTGTTAGTTCTTGGAATAATTTATGTATCTTTTTATTTCATTAGGTGAAATAAAATTGAATTTGTCAGAAAGTATATTCAGATATATGACTGCAGTTGAAGTTTTCAGGTGGTTCTTACGAAATTTATATATGTGTGTGTACATATGTATCTATCTATATGTAGGGTTGTACTTGATCTTTGAGGTCTTTTCCAACC